GGCTAGAACATGTAGACTCCATGCATATGGACACAATGGTCCCAGAAAGTTGGTACTTGTCAGTGGTGTTCTTCAATTTTTGAAAAACAACCTCATCGAATTTTGCGTACCTCTAAGTCCATCTCTAGAATACTAGCACACACTGAACATGGGTTCAGCAGCTTAATTGTAAAACATAACAAGCATGTATTTTGCATAACTTGATCTGCAATCTCCAACTGACTTGTAATAAAATTATAAAAAATAAATTCCCTCCATTTTTCATTTATATTCTGATTGGACTACATCAACTCTCAGAAAGACATAAGAAGTAAATCTTGTGTTGCTTGGTTAACAAATTAGGTTACCATTTCCCTTGAGTAGCAGCAGTATTAATTGTTCATAATTTTTAATTGCTCTGCTAAACATCGTCATTTAGTAGAGTATGACTTGATAGTTAATTATACTGGAAAAGGCTCAGCAACAAGATACTTTATATGTTAGGAGAAAATATATTCATATTTGTATCTTTATGGATTATTCAGGAACACAGGTGACACTGAAATATGACAGGTATATCAATTCATTAAGAAAAAAATAGATGAATATGATAAAATTTATAAATCAAGGCCAAATGATTTAAGTTGTGTATTAGATCCAAACTGAATAAAAATACTTAATTTATGATTTGGGAGTCACTTCTAATATTAAAATCTGGCTGTGTTAGAAACAAATATATCATGTGAGAGGTCTTATAATTTAAAATCTCTTGTGTATACAGCAAGGAATATTCTCAAGTCAAATTACAAAGGCTGAGAGCAATGATTTTTTTAAAGCATACACTCTTTTTATTTTATAATTAACTTAATTTCAAATATCAGCCATGGATTCTGCCATCCTCCCTCCTCCCACCCCCAGCCCTCCCCCACCAAATCCTCCAAGGCAAGGTCTTCTCTGGAGAATCAGCCCAGCCTGGTAGACATAGCCAAGGCAGGTTCAGTCCCCTCCTCTTTACACCAAGGCTAAGCAAAGTGTCCCAGCATAGGCCAAAGGCTCCAAAAAGCCAGCCCATGCACCAAGGACAGATCCTGAATCCACTGCCTGGGGGCCTCCCAAACAGTTCAAGCTAATCAACTGTCTCACTTATCCAGAGGGCCTGGTCCAGTTCCATGGGGACTCCTCAGCCATTGGTTCACAGTTCATGTGCTTTTTCCAATTGTGGGCTCAATATCTCTCACTCATACAATCCCTCCTCTCTTTCGCCAAATGGACTCCTGGAGCTCCACCTGGGGCTCGGCCACGGATCTCTGCATCCACTTCCATCAGACACTAGATGAGAGTTCTATCATGACAGCCATGGTGTTCAGCCATTCGATCACCAGAGCAGGTCAGCTCAGGCACTCTCTCAACCATTGTCAGCAGTCTACATTGGAGGTATCTTTGTGGATTTCTGGGGAACTCTCTAGCACTCTGCTTCTTCCTATTCCCCTGGGGTCTTCATTCATCATGGTATCTCCCTCTCCATTCTCCCACCCTGCTCCTGATCCAGCTGGGACCTCCCACTCTCCTAAGCTCTCTTTCTCCCAACCCTTGCCCTCCGTTACCTCCACCCCCACCCCCAGTTTGCTCATGTAGATCTTATCCATTTTTCTGTCGCTAGGCGATCCCTGTGTCTTTCTTAGGGTCCTCTTTACTAAGTAGCCTCCCTGGAGTTGTGAGTTGCAGTCTGGTTATCCTTTGATTTACATGTAGTATCCACTTATGAATGAGTACATACCATGTTTGTCTTTCTGAATCTGGGTTACCTCACTCAGGAAGATTTTTTTCTAGTTCCATCCATTTGCCTGCAAACCTCATGATGTCATTGTTTTTCTCTGCTGAGTAGTATTCCATTGTGTATATTACCATCATATTGATTTCCAAAATGGCTGTACAAGTTTGCATTCCCACCAACAGTGAAGGAGTGTTCCCCTTGCTCCACATCCTCTCCAACATAAGCTGTCTTCAGTGTTTTTGATCTTAGCCATTCTGATGGGTGTAAGGTAGTATCACAGACTCGTTTTGGTTTGCATTTCCCTGATGACTAAGGATGTTGAACAATTCCTTAAATGTCTTTCAGCCATTTGAGCTTCTTCTGTTGAGAATTCTCTGTTTAGCTCTATAGCCCATTTCCTTTAATTATAAGTTTTACCATTCAATTCATCATTGTGGTGAAGATGGTTTGTGATATATTATTGCTAACATGAATTTGAAAGGGTAGATTCCAAATGTTCCTACCACACAAATATAACTAAGATGAAGGATATGTTGCTTGAAAATGGTATCAGTTTACAATGCGTGCATTCATTTACCATATTGCGATTATATCAAAGTACATTCAAGGTAGCTAAAATTCCAGTATAAATCAGATTGAAACGTGTACTGACCATTCTTAGCTAAGGAGCTATTGTCAGTTAATATTGTCTGGAATAAGAATATAAGGTTATAGCTACTACTAGGTACTCCATGCTTCAGGAGATGACACACCCATACATATATAGAAAGAACTAAATCTACGCAGTGGGATATATATATATATATATATATATATATATATATATATATATATATATATTCAGGAGGGGATATTTAGGGCATTAAAGAGGAGTTGTTGGATAAAATGGGAGGATAAATAATACAGTGTATATAGGTGTGAAATTCTTTTATTTTTTTAATTCGTTTTACATACCAACCACAGATCCCCTTCTCATCCCTCTTCCTGCTCCCGGCCAGTAATTAAAGTCATGTAAATCTTTGTTTTGAATTGAAACAGCCTTATAACCCTGATTGAATTGCTAAATATTCATTAAGCTCACTGTTCTTTCTTCCTAATAAAAATAAACATCTCATCATCGCTTATTTGAGTTCCTGGAAGGTTTAGAAAGGCAAAGCATTATGAAGTCCTATAATATATGACCTTTGTTTGAGAAATGTCCATAAATTTTAAAATATACTTGTGATTTTATAGCTTTAATAGACACTTTTGTTCATAATTTATATGTAATTCTCCAAACATATATAAATATTTTTCTATGTATTTCTCAAGATAAGATATTTAACAAAACACTTTAATTCTCCAATGGCATAGTTAACTATTGACTCTAGTAATATTAATATTGTAGTTTATACCCAGTAGAGGTTAGCCTTTGAGAGATATATTTTATGTAATTCTTTCAATTTAATTGATTATCTACATAATATCATGATTCAGGGATATTTTGATTTCTCATGGGAAATGCTGCTAAATAGATTAAAATGATGAACATCGAAAAATTGGTTATCATTATTGAGAATATTGCTTTTTTCTAAATTGAGTTTTTCATTACAGGTTTTCATTATACACTCAGATCACAGCTTTCTAATCAATAAAGCAATTCATATCATGAGAAATGAAAAAGCTAACTGAAAAGTCTACATAGAAATGATGTTTAAGGGACTGACAATAAATCTATGTTAATATTTCTCCTTTAAATTTCATTTTTCTATATTGAAAACCACCTGATAGCCCTCTAAGAAAATTGTAATTAGGAGACAAAGATGAAATCAAGATTCTGTTTCTGTTTGAGGATAAACAAATTGAATTAAAACTGTCATATATCCATTACTGTAGCTGAACTTAACATTACTGTAACTGGGCTTGATCATGACATTCTGAACTAAAAAGAATAAGTAAATTCACATAATATCCAACTTTAATATAGGAGATTTTAACCTAAAAATACATAAAATATACACACAGTATTGCTAACAATATCTCTAGACTAATGATGCTTTTTTTCACTTCTAGTTAATCAGCTAAATATGGAAATTACTATCTCGATTCACTAGAAACAAATTGAAGGCTAATACAGTCATTTCTTATATGCTTGTTTATGTGGAATCTGAGAAATATAATTATGTATATTGAATTATGCTGGTGAACATATGTCCATAGACTATATAAGCAGTAATTTTACACAGTATGAAAGAACATAAAAGAGGAACACTTTACAGCTAGCATTTGCTACATGAGAAGGCTGGCCTTGAACTACAGTTACAGGACAATAACATTTAAACATTTATCTTCAAATATCCCAAAGTAATAACTCATGATATTCATGATATTTCCTTGATTTCCTTGTTTGTGTGAATGTGATGTATTTGTGCATGTGTGTGGTGGTATGCATATATATATATATATATATATATATATATATATATATATATATATATATATATATGTGTGTGTGTGTGTGTGTGTGTGTGTGTGTGTGTGTGTGTGTGTGTGTTTGCATGTTGAATGTGATGGGAACGTGTATGGCTATGGCATGAGTATGGATATAAGAAACTTTAGATGTCAATCCTGGCCTCCACCATAATTATTCCTTGGGTGTCCAGCAAGTCTCTTGTCTCAGCATTAGCATTCTACCTCCTCGCTGTGGTGTCCTGGGGTTACTCACTTTTCTTTTAATTTGGTTCAGCTCTTACATGGGTCGTGCTATTGTGTCAGGCACTTAGTGGGTTCTGGAGATGGGACTTCAGGTTACTAGAACTGACAAAGTACTTTATGTGCTGAATCACATTTATAATTCTTGCTGATTAAAATATTTCATAATTGATCTGGTGAGATGGCTCAGTGGGTAAAAGCGCTGGCCCCCAAGCCTGAAAACCTGAATTTGGTCTCTAGAACACACATCACGGAAGGAGAAAGCTGATTCCCACAAGCAGTTTTTTGAACTCCACATGTGAACCACCACACATGTGTGTGCATGCATGCACATACACACAAGCAATAAATGTAAAACTAAATTAAATTTTTGCATAATAGAACACTCAAAACAGGCTATCTCTTTTGTCATGGTTTCTAGAATATATTAACTATATTAATATATTATATTAAGACATTAAGAACATAGGAGGAGTTAACTATCTCAAACCAAAACATATATGTTGTATTTGCTCTATTTTCTGGATAAGAGATTGTATTCATTTTTTGTCCACAGATATGCTGTGTTCAGTTAAGATCAATATTCATTTCAAGGAAATATCTAAACAAATGATAATGATATTTTTACAATGGACTTCTTTGGTTTTAGAATTAAATTACACATTTGTAATTTAATAACAATTTAATAAAGCCTCAAAAAGTTGATGCTAACCTCAAGGAAAGCACTGTGCTGTAAGTATATTATTTGAACATAGAAATATTTTTGAGTGCATTGTTTCTACTGTGTATGTTATTTGGTTTTACTGGAATTCCAGTTTATTAACCTGCTCTTTTACAATGCAGGTATGAATGGTGATCTTTTCAAGATAGCTTAGTTATTTCATTTTATACCATTCTGGAACGTCTACATACAAGCTTTTAGCCCTTCATGGTAGAAGCATGATTACTAATGTGATTCAATATTACTGATTTAGTCAAATTTTACTTTGACTTGGAAGCATGGATTTTACATGTCTCTGTTAAGCTACTTTTGTAGGTGAGGGTAGATAAGAAATCTTGTGATTATATATAACCAGTCACTTATCATACCCCTATAGCATATTCGTGCTATTTCATACTGCTCTTAACACTGAAACTGGATTTGTGTGTTATAATAAGCACAGATGGTTCTATTATTCAGACACAGTTTGTTGCTACAAGAGTCATATGCTGGATGTCTAGTTTCTAGTGTAGTGTAGCCTCCCTGGGCACCAGACCCATACATGATGCACACACATACATTCAGGCAAAACACCCATACATAATAAAGTAGATGATAGATAGATAGATAGATAGATAGATAGATAGATAGATAGATAGATAGATAGACAGACAGATAATCCTGGCTCTTGAGTCATTTTCTGTCTTTCTGTCTTGCTACACAGTCATTCTTTGTCTTGTGATGTCATGAACCAGGTGGATCTCATTAAATGCAAACAGAGATAGATCCGCTTGATTTCAATGTTTCAGTCTCCACTGAATTGAATAAATCTGTCTTAATTTTTTTATGGAGTAGGAGGCCTATAATATTTTATTAATTCAACAGAAAGTAGAATAATACAAATATAGTATAATAATATAATACTATATTAATATATCAAGAATATATCAAGGGCTTAAGAAAGAGCATGGTGCATCCCTTTAAAGTAGCTGTTATTGTTGCGTTAGTACCCACCTCAACTCAGAACAGATTTCATGGTTATAATGACCGTTAGGACAAACAAAAGTTTGTGTAAAGAAAGTTTTGCCTTCCTATTATGATTTGTCTTCTAGTCAGAAAACATTTTCTCTTTCAAATACTGATGACAAAAAGTAGAAAGCAATGTGGAAAATGCCATCCTGTAAGGGAAGCACATGAAGTGAGTGCAGCTCTTCTTCATTTGGTTAACGTCAATACTGAAGAAGATTGCCTTGTCTTTCCAATCTTGCTCTCACACTGGCTGTTTTTATAGTAGGTGACAAGGAAACCCCCACCCTGTCAGTGTTACTAGTTCTGTGTGTGGTGTAACTTAACGTGAGCCACAAAAAATAAATCTTGCTCGGCATTGCTGTGAACCCGAAGGAATGGTCTACCTGCCATCATTTCCCACTCCGCTGCCACTTACAGCTAGAAATGAATGGCACAACTTGGGATGACAGAAAAACTCTGAGGGGGGGAAAAACAATTACATTTGCTGCTATCAATATCTGAGACTTTTGTACCAAATATAATGATAATCGTGTTTTTTTTTGAAAGCTTACTGAAGCTTTCGCTATGTCAGCAACATTCTTTCTATTCATCAGGAGGTATTGACTACTGCCCTGAGGGCATGTTCAGCCTTCCACAAAGCAAAGGAGAAAAACAAATTGAGCAAGCATTAAAAATTGCAAACCAAGCAAGTCTGATACACAGGGTGGCACGTGTCAGGGAGATGAACAGTTGGCGGTAACACTTTTTATGCGTGTTTTCATTGATGTAAGGTCAAATGTTATATATAAATCCCTATATTTAAAAGATGTAATTTGCTTTAGCATTCTGTTAATTTTAACACCTGCTAAACAAAGAATATGTTACAAGTTGGTGCCTTGGGGTAGATTAATGGAGCAACATTGATTTGAATGGGGAGGGATTTATTGTTTCTTTGTTTGTTTTTTTCCCTCCCAAATCCTCATATGACCATAACATATATTTACTGGGGAGGAGTACAAATATATATACTTTTTCTGTTTATCATGAAGATCTGGAGAGAGAGGATAGAACTCATTAAACTGAGCAGTTTGCTACAGGTAGCCCAAATTCTAGAAACATGAAGGTGTTGTCACAACACACCTAAGCATCTGTGTTGGAGCAAACAGCCTTGCAGTATACCAGTTCATCTGTCACTTCCTATAAGCATCAATTCTTCAGTAAATGAGTGTTTTTGCTGCATTGATGAAAACTAGCAAATAAATTACTATACTGGTAGCTTCTCGAGGGAAAAATATTTTGACATTTTTCAAATACAGCTTATTTGCTTCCATGAACAATAATTTGAAGTAAACAGTACTGATTCATACTATTCTAACAACACAATGAGTATGTCTATGTGTATATGTGTGAATTAATGAAGGCAAGTAGAATAAATTTAAGAACATCTGTCCTTACTGCATACCATCTAAAACTTTCTGTAGTATTTGGATTTTGATATTGAAAAATCAAATAACATGTTTGCAGGTTCCCAAGTACAAAGGAGTTATGTGATTGGTCTTCTAACTGCCCACAATATCAACACTTTTTTCCCAGACTCAATTCTTAAAATTTCTATAAGAATGGGTCTATGGTAGTTTTTTTTTTTTTTTTTTTTTTTTTTGGTTTTTTGAGACAGGGTTTCTCTGTGTAGCTTTGCGCCTTTCCTGGAACTCGCTTTGGAGACCAGGCTGGCCTCGAACTCACAGAGATCCGCCTGGCTCTGCCTCCCGAGTGCTGGGATTAAAGGCGTGCGCCACCACCGCCCGGCGGGTCTATGGTAGTTATAAAATATTTCAATCCTGAGCCAGGCATGCTGATACACACCTTTAATCCCAGCACTTGGGAGGCAGAGGCAGGTGGATCTCTGTGAGTTCAAGGCCATCCCAGTCTACAAAGAGAGTTGTAGGACAACCAGGGCTGTCACACATACACACACAAAAAAAATGCTTGAAAAACAAAAGCAAACAAACAAACAAAAAATGCATTCACCATGTCATAAACTAACTATTGGCACTATTCTCAGTTTAAACATGAAAGTTTATGGTGTTTTGCGAATGGTTGAAGTAAAGCGGATACGTCCATCTGCATTTTTGTGTTTAAAGAGCATAGAGACATATAATAGGTCTGAGCCAAAAAGAGAAGTCCCTAGGCAAGGCTTTAAGAGTGCTACTCCATGTTGGGCATGATGGCACACATCTGTCATTGCAGTGCTCGGGAGATGAAAGTAGGGTGATGGCAAGCTTGTGGAAGAACTGGGCAGTGTGGTGGGACTCTTTCTTAAAAGTGGATACTTTCAAAGCAACTGATGTCCTGTAGAAAGGAAATTAAGATTTTCCACAGGCTTCTATTTTACTTGGACCTCAAAGTTCAAACATTTTACATGATGTGAAAAGCTTGCTTGTACTTATAAACACATATGCACATTGAAAAAAAAAAGAACTTTGTTAGTATCGACTAACTCTTATTAACTCAACACTTGGAACTCTGGTGTTTTTTAAAGAAATAATGTACACTGAAAAAAATCTCAAAGCCCTGAAGAAGGATTATACACATTCCAATATTAAAAAAGAAGCAGAAAGTATTAAGACATCTATGAAAGCAGAGTGAAGCATTAAGAGGGCTCAAAAATTCAAAAATCAACTTCCAGTTGAAGTTGGAATTCATTGACATCTTCACCAAGACAGTAATATTTGGATGACTTAATTATTTATGGTTGCAATGTGGGAATTGGGAAAGGAAGAGAACAAATGCATGTGGTACACAGTGAGAGGTAAAGATAGAGAAGAGTAATTTTCTTAAATACACTTCTAGTTGTCAGTGCTAAAGTATATGGTAGTAATACTAAGGGGGGAATCCTAAGAAAAACATGTTTGCTTACAAAATCATTAACAAGTAGTTTGAAAACAAAGCAAAACAAAGAACTGTTGCGGTGCAAAGCATCCTCCTTGACTTTCTGTATTCATTATTAACGTCCTACATATTTGTAACCATGGTCAGGTACTCTAAACCAAGAACACAGTGATTTCAACTCCACATTAAATAGTATGACCTCCATCCACTACTCCATGTTAATTTGCAAAAGAGAGTCCAACAGTACTTTTCCTGGAGATCTGATGAAATTTCCTGGGAAAAGACTTCAGGCCCAGTGTGACGATGTTGTTAGCAGAAACATGCACAGATCCCTTCAAACTATCTAGATTTCAGAGTGTTAATTTCAGTTTGACCTCAACCAAGTCTTTGCTTCATGAGTTTGTGCTTTGGAAAATTACATTTTCCTGCCATTTAGGTTTTTGAAAACTTCTAGGACAGATATTGCTCCAAGATAGGTGATTTCAACACTTTCCTAGAAATTGATGACTCTTGGGGTTATTGTGGGACTCTTAACAATGATAGTGGGGGTGTCTCTGAAACTTTTTTGTTCTCTTTTTATTATTATTATTATTATTATTTAATTTTATAATTAATTTAATTTTACATATCAGCCATGGATTCCCCTGTCCTCCCGCACCGCCCCCCCCGTGATCCCCCCAATCCACCCCTCATTCCCATCTCCCCCAGTGCAAGGACTCCCCTGGGGATTCAGCTCAACCTGGTAGATTCAGTCCAAGAGGTCCAGTCCCCTGCTCCCTTCACCTAGGCTGACCAAAGTGTCCCAGCATAGGCCCCAGGTTCCAAACAGCCAGCTCATGCACTGAGGACAGGTCCCAGTCCCACTGTTTGGGGGCATCCCAAACAGTTCCAGCTAATCTGCTGTCTCACTTATCCAGAGGACCTGATCCAGTTCATGGGGGCTCCTCAGCTATTGGGTCATAGTTCATGTGTTTCCACTAGTTTGGCTTTTTGTCCCTGTGCTTTTTCCAATCATGGTCTCAACATCTCTCGCTCAGATAATGCCTCCTCTCTCTTGCCAGTTGGACTCCTGGAGCTCTACCTGGGGCCTGGCCATGGATCTCTGCATCTACTTTTATCAGTCATTGGATGATAG